CGTCCGGGATCTGGATTTTATAGTCTCTGAGTCTTGGCCGCTGATGGGATTACACGGCGCCAGGGGGCCAGGTGGTGGGTGTGACCCCCGCCTACTGGAATTTGGAGGATCTGGGTGGAAGATGCTCGACTCCAATTCGAGTAGGCTTGGAGGTCTCGGCCCCGGAACCCGCGTGGCTTTGTCCCTCTGCCAGTACCTTCAGGTGTGCGGAGAGTGGTCTCAGCATGGTGGTGGCTGGTCCTGGAGGTCTCCGGCTGCCGTAGCCCTGGCCGGGGCGGGGAGGAAAGCTCAACCCGCTCCCCTCCAAGGGACTCCGGGAAGGAACACCGAGGCGCGGGGGCAGAGACTGCACTGCTCTCGTCCGGGATCTGGATTTTATAGTCTCTGAGTCTTGGCCGCTGATGGGATTACACGGCGCCAGGGGGCCAGGTGGTGGATGTGACCCCCGCCTACTGGAATTTGGAGGATCTGGGTGGAAGATGCTCGACATCTTATTATCTCATTCCTACTTTGGACAAACTTGCAGGCTGTCGAATGTAGCCTGCCCACAGGGCAGAGTCTGGCAAACTCCCCGTGGCCTACCAAATATGCCAAATACCAGTAACAATGATGGGTCTCATTCTCCTAAAGAGCCCTGAATATAATCTCAGGGCTAGGATGAAAGAGACGTTACTGGGGCCTGCTCGAGGCAATCGACGATTAACAGGATGATGAAATGAAATGAAATGAAATGAAGGTTTTTTCTGATAAAAGAGTTTGTGTTTTGTTTTTGGGGGAGAGTCGGGACTACAACTGGCAATGCTCAGAGCTCCTGGATCTGCTCTCAGGAGTCACTTCTGGACCATATGGGGTACTGGGGATTGAACTCCAGTCAGTCAAGTGCAAGGCAAGCTCTGTACCTGCTGTTCTATTCCTCCAGCCCCTGAAAGAGAGTATTTTAAAAAAGAGTTTTTTTAGTAAAACCCCAGTCATGAGGATGGAAGATAGTTGGTTCCTGGGGTTCCCTAGTTTCCCCGATAGTTTCCCCATCACCACTGCCAAGGGTGACTTCTGAGCAATGAGCCAAGAGTGGCCCCTAGGCACTTCTGGGTATATCTCCCTTAACAAACAAAATTTGGAAAATGGAAAGAAATGGGGTAAGGGAGTTTTTTGGAGTGAGGGAAACACATTCATCCTGAATACTGAGAAGACAAAAGATGCTTGCTAAAACCAACATATTCCACAAACGGATGAGAATGATTGCAGAAGAACTGAAACATCCTAGGCCGGGTGGCATGACCTGCCTCTGAGAAGTGGAGCTGGGAGAAGAGAGAAAGGTTCATTGCCCGTTTGTTTATCCTTCTGAAGCCTGCTTTTATTTCCCCTTATTTCTTTGCAATTCTAGGAGCGGAAACAAAGGCCTATACATGCAAGACAAATATTCTGCCCCTTAGCCACATCCCTGGCCACTTTTCACTTTTTCAAAGATGGAGTCTACACCTGTGCTGAGGTTATACCTGACAGTGCTCAGGAATACTCTTGTGAGTGTTCTGGGGACGACTGCTCTCAGATCATGTGATGCCAGAGATCAAACCTGGGACTCCTATTGGCAAAGCATTCCAGTTTACTGAGCTAATCCCAGTCTCTGAGCCTCTTAAAGTTTATTTTCATTGTATTTAGTTTATTTCTTTGACACTATCTAATATAACATAATATTTGTCTTTAAAAAATAAACAGCGGCTGGAGTGATAATACAGCGGGCAGGGTGTTTGCCTTGCACGCGGCCGATCTGGGTTTAATTCCTGGCATCCCATATGGTCTCCCAAACACCGCCAGGAGTAATTCCTGAGTGCAGAGCCAGGAATAACCCCTGTGGATTGCTGCGTGTGACCCAAAAAGCAATAAATAAATAAATAAAAATAGTGTTCTATTCCTTTTTTTTTTCCCCCCTTTTTGGGTCACACCCGGTGATGCACAGGGTTACTCCTGGCTCTGCATTCAGGAATTACCCCTAGCGGTGCTCAGGGGACCATATGGGATGCTGGGAATTGAACCCCGGTTGGCCACGTACAAGGCAAACGCTCTACCCGCTGTGCTATCGCTCCAGCCCCAGTATTCCTTTATTTTTCTAACAGATTTAGAAATTTTTTGTTACAGGAAATAAACAACTAAAAATGCCTTTTCTTTAAAATACAAGTGTCATGGCCACAGCGGGGATGGGCTGTCTCTTCCTGTCTCCCTGCCCTTTCAGCGTCCTGGCTGTCATGCCCACAATTGCCTCCAGACACCATTTAAGTGTATTAACGACTTTGACCCAGAGACTCATAAATGAATCTCAAAATGGATTAGCTCCCTACAGAGATGTCTCCGGACCCCAATCATTTACAATTTTAGAATTCTAGGAGCGGCCGCAAAAGCAGCCACGTAACCTCTCATGATATTCATAAAAGGCAATAGAAAATAAATTATCTAGCACCTGCCTGTGGTAGACAGGCTTGAAACGGTGGTGGAAAAATTTGAAATAATGGTTGTGGGTAGGTGTAATGGTGGTGGGATTGGTTTTGAAATATTGAATGTAATCAGTGTGAACAATCTTATGAAAATAAAATATAAAAATTAAAAAATAAGTGTGTCCAGAAATATTAACTCATTATTTGGAGTTTTTTTTTTTTTTTTTGGTGGGAGGTCACAACTGCCAATGTTTAGGGGTTACTTCTGTCTCTGCACTCAGAAACCACTCCTGGAGGTGCTCCAGGGACTCTGTGGAATGCGGGGGATTGAACCCGGGTCAGCCACCCAGTACTATCTCTCTGGGTCCTCTAACTTGATATTTGGGTTGGGAGGAGTGGAATAGGTTCCCAGGATTCTCTGCCAACCCAGCCTACAGTTCAATGTAAGGGGCAGGAGAATTCGGTGCTGCCTGGGGATTACCTTTGTCTCCCTGGTGGTGCTTGAGGCTACCAGGCTGCACCTGGCAGGCCTGCTCGGCTACAGAAAGTGGTGTTGGAAGACAACCACATGGTACCAGGGATTGAAGCGGAGCCAGATGCATATGAAGCAAATGCCTGAACTGCTGTGCTGTCTCTTGGGCCCCTAGAAGTATTAACTCATGACACTGGGGTGTAAAGTAGGTCTGCAGATATCCTTTGTAACAGGAAGGAGCTGAGTCAGGAGAAGGTCATGTGTTGATAAGCTTGGTTTCTAAGTAGTTGTCTCAGGGAATAGGATATGGGAGACAAGTTTGATCAATGAGCCTTTCTCAGCATACAGGGCCAGGCAGTGTTCCTTCAGGGAACCCTGGGGTGCTGGAGATCAAACCTTGGCCTCCTGCATGCTAAGCATGTCCTTGAGACTTTGCACTGTCTCTCTGGCACTCCTCATTTATAAGTTCTAGGTTATTTTTTGTTTGTTTGTTTGTTTTGTTTTGTTTTGCTTTTGTGGGGAGGAGGCCACACCCAGTGGTCTCGAGGGCTTCTTCTGACTCTGCTCAGAGATCACTCCTGGCGGGGTTCAGGAGTCTGTATGCAGTGCCAGGGATTGAACTCTTGGCTGCATTCAAAACAAGTGCTTTAATCCCCATACTATCTCTGCAGCACACCTTTATCTTTGGTGGTGGTGGCACCTGACAGTGTTCAAGGCTTACTCCTGGCTCTGCACTCAGGAATCCCTTCTGGCAGACTTGGGGGATCATCTGGGGTACTGGGGATCAAACCAGGGTCAGCCACATGCAAGCAAATGCCTTACCTGCTGTACTGCTGCTTCAGCTCCCCTTCATCTATTCTTAAAGTTAGCACACATTTAGACACATCCAGACACAACAAAATAGGGCACCAGTCCATGAAAACCCTTGGTAACCTTCTCTCTGACTCAGGCTGCAGACTGTCGCAGCGACATCAGTGGCTGAATTGGAACTGAATCCTGCTGGCAGTGGACCTTTTCTGTTTCTTTTTTTCTTCCAAATTTTCCCCTTACACTTTATACTCTTCCTGTTCTGCAAGAACCATCTCAGAGCCCAGTTCTCAGAGCCCAAATGTCTTTGTCACTATCAGGAGGGATAGAAAGGGCTCTCAGGGACTGGAGCGATAGCACAGTGGGTAAGGGCGTTTGCCTTGCACGCAGCCAACATGACTGACAACAGGTTCGATTCCCAGCACCCCATATGGTCCCCTGAGCACCGCCAGGGGCAATTCCTGAGTGCATGAGCCAGGAGTAACCCCTGAGCATCACCGGGTGTGACCCAAAAAGCAAAAAAAAAGAGAAAGGGCTCTCAGTTTCTTTTTAAGAGTCAGTATAGAGGTGCTGGAGTGATAGTACAGTGGGTAAGGCATTTGCCTTGCATGCAGCCGACCCAGGTTTGATTCCCAGCATCCCATATGGTCTCCCGAGCACTGCCAGGAGTAATTCCTGAGTGCAAAGCCAGGTGTAACCCCTGTGCATCACCGGGCATGACCTAAAAAGCAAAAAAAAAAAAAAAAAGGGAGACAGTATAGAGAACTGGAAACATGTACAGTAGTTAGGGTGCTTACCTCGAATGCAGTCTACTTGGGTTCAATTCCTTGCACACCATAGGGTGTTCTGAGCCCCATCAGGAGTGATCCCTTACTGCAGAGTCAAAAATAAGCCCTGAGTACAGCCAGGTGTGGCTTAAAAATGAAAACAAAATCAAGGGATGGTCAGCCTAGAGCACCCAAAGAAGCCCAGAAGCCATCAGAACCCAAGAGCCCTCCCTCTCGTGACCTGAGTGGGTCTGCAGGTGAGGCCACTGGGGCCTCAGCAGCTGCAGAAAAGAAAGCTGGGTGTAGCTCTGGAGTGGCCCTGCCTGGCAGTGGGGAAGCAGGAGGCTGGCATTCCCAGCAGCCAACAAAGACTTGTTGATCTTTGCCCCCCCTCGTTGCCACTCCCAGGGCCCAGGCCCTGCCTCCCACCTTCCCTCCAGGCCTCCCTGGTGCTTCACTTCCCTGCTCCCTGGGACCTGACAGAAGGGCAGTTTTCCCCCTGCTTCTTGCCCAGACCGATCCTTCATGCCGTCTTCAAGCCCTGCTGCTTGCACATCTACTCAGCCGAACACGGAGGCTTCAAGTAAGAAGGTCCAGTGGGCTCCAGGGACTAGGAGGCTCTCGTCCACAGACTCTGAGTCAAGAGCGTCCAGGGTCCGGAGACCCAGCCGGCTGACGGTGAAGTATGACCGAGGACAGCTCCAGAGCTGGCTGGAGACGGAGCAGTGGGTAGATGCCCAACTTCAGGAGCTCTTCCAGGTGGGTCCTGAGGAGGGCCCGGGTTGAGGGCTGGAGAGAGTTCCTGACTTTGGAGAAGTAGAGGCTGATGGGAAAGAAGGTGGGTCCTTGCAGGGAAGCCCAGGCCAGTGGTCCATCCACGGGCCTCCCACAATTCGGGGCTCTGCTTCTGAGCATCTTCATCTCCTGGGGAGGCTCTTTTGATTCCTGAGGTATAAAGTTAGGCTGCCGATATCTGTTTCTTCACCTTTATCTGACTTTTTCTTTCTTTTTTTTTTCCTTTTGGGTCATACCTGGCGATGCACAGGGGTTACTCCTGGCTCTGCATCCAGGAATTACTCCGGGTGGTGCTTGGGGGAGCATATGGGATGCTGGGAATCGAACCCGGGTTAGCTGTGCGCAGGGCAAACGCCCTACCCACTGTGCTATCGCTCCATCCCCTTTCTGACTTTTTCTTTTGTGTGTGTGTGTCTCTGGCCCCTGGAAAGACTTTTTAAAAATTATTATTATTTATATTTTTTGTTTGGGGCCCACATCTGTCAGGGTTCCAACTTACCCCTGGCATTGTGCTCAGGAATCACTCCTGATGGGGCTCGCGGAGCCTAATGGATGCTGGGGATCGAACCCAAGTCAGTTGTGTGCAAAACAAACCCCCTATCAGCAGTCCCCTATTTTTTTTTATTTTTATTTTTCAAGACTCCTTGGTCCGTGTTTCAAGACGGGTCGGGTGGGTGGCCGACATCGCCGCCGACACCCCCCCCCCCCACCAGCCCCGTGTGCTCCCTTCGCCCGGTCGGTGACGGCGTGGCCTCGGAAACCCCCCGAGCCTGGGGACACTTAAGTGATTAAGTGATTAAGTGATTTATTTTTAGACTTTGGTCTTTGTTTGCGCTTATCTTGAATTGTACAATAACAATCAGTCATATATGTGTAGCTTCACTTTAAGTGACAAGTAAATAGAAGTAAATGTTCAGTTCTGAGCCCGAGAGAAAGCACAGTGGGTAAAGCACTTGTCTTGCGTTATGGCTGACCTTGGTTTAATCTCTAGCATCACATACAATCCTTCGAGCACCACCAAGAGTGGGTCCTGAGCACAGATCCAGGAGGAAGCCCTGAGCACAGACAGATATAGCCCAGTTCCCCCCTTCTTTCCTAAAAATGATCAGTTCCCCAGTCATGCCTACTTAGTCACATTTCAAAAGCCCGGAAGCCCCAGGTGGTTAGTGGCTGTCATAGAGTCAGAGCAAACACAGAACATTTCCTAATGGATAGTACTGGGCGTGAGTGCCAAGTTAGCAGAGGAGGGTGCTGCCCTAGCTGTGGCCAGGAACAGGACCATCTTAGCTAATGTTCAGTAAGAGCCACCTTGCTAAGACCTCAACCATTAGACTTAACACTTTGAGCACTTAGCTATGTGACAAGCCCTGGATGTAAGATCTCATCTACCCTCCTGCAATTTCATCCAGTGGTTTCTGTTCACCCGTGGAGGAAGAGGATGCTTAGAGATGCTGAATTCACCCTCCCTCCCTCAGGTAACAGAGGGCCAAGGGGTGGGAGCTGAGCTCTGCCTTCAGCAACAAGTGAGAATCCACACCTGACGTATTAACAACAACAGCATAAGGACAACTACAAAAAGTCCAGCCCCAGCTCCCCCACAACTGAATTTTAAAAAAGTACTAAAAAAATTTACATAACTGCGGGAGTGGGATACACCTGGCAGTGCTCAGGGACTGCTCTTGGCTCTGTGTTCAAGAGGGATCATAGAGTGCTGGGGATGGAACCCAGGCCTCCTGAACGCAAAGCAGGTACGCCAGCCTGCTGAACCGTTTCCTAGCCCCCGCCACTGAATTTCAGTCAGGAGACTTGGGCTGAAAGGCAGCTCAGCAGACTGTGTGCTTGCTTTATGTATGCTGGGATCCCATGTCTCCTGGTCTCCTGGCAAAGAGCTGGGAGGCAACCCTGAGAAACCTGGAGTATGGTCTACAAACCAACCAACCCACTGCCCCCAAAAGCAAGAAATTCAAGAGTAGGGCATGAATTTAAGTATATCTTATTTACTCTGAAATAAACTAAGGAAACAAAGTCCAAAACTTTAAAACATAAATAAAATCCAGCAGGAGAGTTGGGCCAGGCACTGGTATATATATATATATATATATATATATATATATATTTTTTTTTTTAATCGAATCACCATGAGATACAGTTACAAAGTTGTTCTGGATTGGGTTTCAGTCAACACCCTTCCCTTCACCAGTGCACATTTCCCACCTTCCCACCACCAATGTGCCAGGTTTTTCTCCCACCACCCCAGTACATTTCTTCTCCTTCCTCCCTCTCTTCCTCCCTTTCTCTCCCTCCCTCTCTTTCTCTCTCTCTCTCCTCACTCTCTTCTCTCTCTCGTTCTCTCTCTCTCTTTCTCCTGTCTCTATGTCTCTCTCTGTCTCTCTCTGTCTCTCTCTCTCTCTCTCTCTCTCTCTCTCTCTCTCTCTCTTTCTCTCTCTCTCTCCCTTCTCTGGGCACTGGTGATTTCTGGTAAGCGCTGCTGAGGATCAGAGTACACAAGGCAGGTTTCTCTCCTCTGGACTCAGGTGCTATCTTTTCTCCGGGCAGCAAGTCTGATTTACATTTAGAGAAGTGTGTGGCTTGGGCTGTTCAGTGGCACTCCCTGAACCATGGCTGAGTTTGCTGTGGGGTTGTTGCATCTCCTGCAGTAGCCTGGGCCTGGGCGGGGAGAGATTAAGGAGCTGGTACTGAAGTGACGGTGTTTCTTGGCCTGTGACTCACCCCCAGTGCCATTCACCCTCTGGATCTGTTTCAAGTGTACGTTTTGCCTGAAAAGTCCTGTTTCAGACACTGCAGGACAAAGTATTTCTGATAGCTAACAACAACCTAAAGGAACTTCTTTTGCAAGATCAAAGCAGGAGGGAATGTTGAATAATAATGAACTCATAACTTCAGAAAACAGGTCGTGTGGGAGGACCACTCCCAGGCAATGACCGGAATAAAGAGCCTGACCCATGGTTGCCATGGCAATTGTCCAAAGGTGCCAGGTGGCAGCTCCTCTCCCAATCTCTGCTCTTTTTAGCAGGAAGCAGTTAAGCATTTGGGAATTCTCATGTGTCTGGTTATCTCGGGTAGGGATTAGGGCAGTCGGACCTTCCCCATCTCCAAGACTCTTTCCCCTGTGTCCACCTCAGATGGCCCCAGGGATGCCAAGGGATTATTTCCAGGACACAGCACTTTATGTGATAAAATCAGAATTATGGGGGCTGACCTTCCTTTTTGGTGGCCTCACCTCTTTCCTCTTGCAGTGCAATATGGCTTGGATTCTTCATTTTATTTTATTTTTTTTTATTTTGGGGCCACATCTGGCAATGCTCATGGCTCACTCCTGGCTCTGCACTCAGGGATCACTTGTGGCAGGGCTCAGGGGTTACTCCTGGCAGATCTCAGGGGATCATAGGAAACACTAGGGATCAAACCCCAGTAGGCTGTGTGCAAGGCAAACACCCTTCCTGCCCTACTATCACTCTGGTCATTGACTTGGTTTCTTCTTTTTTTTTGTTTGTTTGTTTTTGGGTTACACCTGGTGTTGCTCAGGGGTTAGTCCTGGCTTTTCTCTCAGGAATCACTCCTGGAGTTGCTGGAGGACCATATGGGATGCTGGGAATTGAACCCGAACCCAGATCAGCCATGTGCAAGGCAAACACCTTACCTGCTATACTATCGCTCTGGACCCTGGCTTGACTTTTTGGAGGCTACTGTCAGGGTCCCACAGTGCACCCAGACACCCAGACATGGGGCCTGGAGCTCCTATAGTTCAGGGGCTGGTGTGGATTTGGCTTCTAAACAAGGACTTAAAGACTCACACGTTTCTCCTGTTTTACTTTATTTATTTACTTGGCTTTTTGGGTCATATCCAATTATGCTCAGAGGTTACTCCTAGTTCTGCATTCAGGAATTACTCCTGGCGATGCTTGGGGACCATATGGGATGCCAGGATTGAATCCGGACCAGCCATGTGCAAAGCAAATGCCCTATCCACTGTGCTATTGCTCTGGGCCCTCTCCTGTTTTAGAGACATTCACTGAACAACATGCTCTCCTCATCCCAGTTACCATATTCTAGTTCATATTTTTTATATTATTTTGATTTTATTTTGTTTTTTTTGAGTCACATTTTCAGTACTCAAGGTGTGCTGACGTGTTTGGGGGTGGGGAATAAGGAGCTTTGGGGCCACCCCCACAGGTGCTTGGTGGAGCTATTCTTGCTTCTGTGCTTTGTGGGTCACTCCTGGATGTGCCTATGGGACCCTGTGGTGGCAGGGATCAAACCAGGGTAAGCTACATGCAAGGCAATTACCTTAATCCCTGTCTGTCTCTCCTGCCCCTGATGGGCCGGCATTTAAGGAACCAATCTATTGACTCAAAGGGATGGATCACGTGCCTTACATGTGGGAGCCCCAGGGTTGATTCCTAACATCTCATGGTCCCCTAAGTACCATCATAAATGACTGTTGAGTTGACAGCCAGGAGTAGACCCTGAGCATGGCTAGATATGGCTAAAATTTCAAAACAAAATAAAAAATTGTATTGAGGCTTGAGAGATAGCTCAGTGGGCTAGAGTTCTAGACAGGAGGCCGAGGTTTGATCCCTGGCACCACAGGGACCCCTGAGCATAACTGGATAGCCCCCAAAAAACTTTAGTCAATGCATATACAGCATGTCCTCAAAAAGTGTTCCTTTGTTATAATAACAGAAGCAATCTCAGCTAAGAGATTTCCCAGCAGTGCTTGAGGGCTGCTCCTGGGAGAGTGCTTGGTAGACTCACAGACTTGTCTTATTTCCCTTCTTCCTCCTCCTCATGTGTCCTGAACTACCTACTACCTAATGGCTGAAAGCACTGTTCCCATATTTTGTCCAGTTTTCTAATTACTTATGTTGGGAGAATATATCTTGTCTCCATTAACTTTATTATGAGCTCAGGCATAAAGATCTAATCAATTCTTTTCTGTTTTTGCTTTGGGGGCACACCCAGTAGTACTCAGGGGACTCCTGGCTCTGTGCTGAGGGATCACTTCTGGTGGGGTTCAGGGGACCATATGGAATTCTGGTTATTGAACCCGGGTTGGCTGTATACAAAGCAAGTACTCTCCCCACTGAACTATCACTCTGGCCCAATTTCTGGCCAACTGTTCTTACTTGGCTGTCAGGTCTCTCTTGCTCCAGGAAACCATCTTAAATCTCAGATTTGGTTAGGTTCCCTCCCATATACTCTCTTTGGGTCTCATCAGCATGTCTGTCATCAAATAACTGTTGTTTTACTTTCTTTTTTTCTTTTCTTTTCTTTTTGAGTCACACCCGGCAATACACAGGGCTTACTCCTGACTCTGCACTTAGGAATCACTCCTAACAGTGTTCGGAGGACCATATGGGATGCTGGAAATTGAACCCGGGTCAGCCACATGCAAGGCAAACGCCCTGCCCACTGTGCTATTGCTCTAGTCCCTGTTGTTTTACTTTCTATATTCTTCATGAGGCCAAAAAGATTTCAGGGTTAGGAATCTATCTCTCTTGCTATTTTGTCCTCAGCACTCATTACAAAGTGGGAATCCTGAGTCAGAGCAATAGCACAGTGGGTAGGGTACTTACAACAGATAACCAACCCAGATTCAATCCACTGCACCACACATGGTCCCCCAAGCCTACCAGGGAGTGATCCCTGAACACAGGGTCAGGAGAAAGTCCTGAGCATCACCACATGTGGCCACCTCAAAAATACAACAAAGCAAAACAAAGAGAACACCCCCAAAACAATCCGAGACACATTGCATACCCTCTGAATGCACGTAGGTTTGATTCCCAGCAACCCCCCATCCCCAGCCCCTTCCAAGTGTGATCCTGGCAGCACTGGCATTTGAGATCCCTCAAACCACAACAAATTGTGTAGCCCCTGCCAAGTACTGCCACTAAGTGTTTGAGTACTACAACCAAGTGTGTGTGAGATCCCCTACACCTAACAGCATCCTTCTCATCCCAATAGCAACAAGGGGAGGGAAAATATATATATATATATTGGGGCTGAGAGACAGTACTGGAGGTAAGGCACTAACCTTGCATGCAGCAGTTTTGTCTCTGATTTAATCCCCAGCACCATTCATGATTGCCTGAGAGCTGCTAGGAGTCACTGTGTGAAGCCCTACACACACACACACACACACACACACACACACACACACAAATATATATATATGTATATAATATATAATTATCAGATGCTAAATCAGATGAAGTAAAACGAAGGAAGTTTAAAGGACCAGAGAGATAGTATAGGAATTAAGACACTTGCCTTGCACACGGCTGGTCCTGGTTCAATCGCTAGCAACACATAAGGAGACCTCAAGCCCCACTAAGAGTGATCCCTACAGAGCCAACTGTAAGCCCTGAGCACTGCTAGGTATGATCCAAACACCAGGGTCGGAGGCAGGGGAAGGAAGTCTAAAGCTTAGGGATTTAGAAAGGATTTATTCAGAAATTTCGCACTATTTCTTTGTGATTTAATTTTTGGAGTTGCTGGGGAGGGAACACAGGCCCTAACATATGCAAGGAATACACTCTGCCACTGAGCCACATTCCAAGCTCGTAATCTCTTCTTGAAAGGTATGGAAGGGGACCTGAGCAGTAATACAATGGGTAAGGCATTTGCTTTGCACATGGTAAACTCAGGTTCGATCTCTGACATTCCTTATGGTCCCTCAAGCACTGCCAGGAGTGAGCCCTGAGTGTAGAGCTAGGAATAACTCCTGAGCATTGTCAGGTATAACCCCCCCAAAAAGAGAAAGGTATGGAAGGACCAAAATCTTCTTTTGGTTTTGTTTTGGGGTTATACGCGGCAATGCTCAGGGGTTACTCCTGGCTTTGCACTCAGGAATTACTTCTGTTGGTGCTTCGGAGACCACATGGTATGCTGGGGATCAAACCCAGGTCAACTTCGTACAAGACAAGTGCCCTACCTGCTGTACTACTCTCTGACCCCCCAAATTGTTAACTGTTTTGGTTTTTTGTGTGTGTTCTGATTTAGGGGGCATACCTGCTGTGCTCAGGACTTATTCCTGGCTCTATGCTCAGGAATCATTCCTGGTGGGATGTGGGGGACCACATGGTGACACAGCTAAAAACTGAGTGTGTGTAAGGGAAGAATCTTACCTGCTGCACTATTTCTCTAGAACCTTCTTGTCTTTTTTACTGAATTGATACTTGAACAAATGAGACAAAAGCAGCATGTCCCTGAACACAAATCAAGAAAAGTGGACCCAACCTATATCAGTTCTTTTCTGTCATTTCCATTTGAGAAGGCCCTTGATGAAGTAATCAAAAATTATTGGTTTAGGGCTGGAGCAATAGTACCTGCAGCTGACCCAGGTTCAATCCCCAGAATCCCATATGGTTCCCCAAGCACTGCCAGGAGTAATTCCCGAGTGCAGAGCCAGGAGTAACTCCTGGGCATCATTGGGTGTGATCCAAAAAAAAAAGCAAAAAAAATTATTGGTTTATTAAATGTTGGCTTTACATGTTGTTTGTTTGGGGATCACACCTGGCAGTGCACCTCCTGGCTCTGAATTCAGGGATCACTCCTGATGGGCTCAGGGGACCATATGAGATGCTGGGGATAGAACCCAGGTCAGTCTCCTGAAAGCAAGCCCGACATGTTGTACTGTGTCTCCAGCCACAGCCACTGATCTTTAATGTCTTTATAGTTTGTCTTTTCCAGAATTTCAAATAGCTGGAATCACTTAGTAATACACATTAAATCTTTGGGATTACTCCTGGCTCTGTGTTTAGGGATCACTAGTGATACTGTTCAGGGGACCATATGTGGTGCCAGGGACCCAACCAAGCTTGGTCATGTGTAAGGCAAGTGCTTTACCTATTGTGCTATCTTTCCTTTTGTTTTCTTCCTTGTAAGGGGACTATTCCTGGTGGTGCTCAGGGCTAACACTTAGCAAAGAAGAGGTATGAGGGGTTGTGTAATGCCAAGGGCCAAATTCAGGGCCTCACACATGAGTGTCATGTGCTCTCTACCACTTGAACCTCTCCATGTCTTTTTTTAAAAAAAAAAAAAGAAAGGAAAGAAAAGAAAAGACCACACACAGCATTTCTCAGGGGCTACTCCAAGCTCAGTATGTGGGGGGTCACTCCTGAAGGTGCTCAGGGGACCATGGATGCTGTGGCTCTGGGGACCTGGGGAAGCTTACTGGGGAGGCAAAGGAGGCTTGGTCTGGGTCCTTCCCCTCCCCACTATAGGGAGTGGTGTCCGGGGCAGAGCACGACTGTGTGGTGTGCGCTGGGGATTGAATTTAGGCTGCCCAAATTCAAAGCATGCATTCAGCCTTTTGGGTTCTCTCTGGCCCCTTAAACAGGCTTTTAATTATTATTTTTATTTTTTATTCTTTTGGTTTTTGGACCACATCCAGCGGTGTTCAAGGCTTACTACCGCTCTGTGCTCTGGGATCACTCCTGGCAGTGCTTGGGGCGTGGGGGATGGAACCTGGATCGGCTGTGTGCAAAGCAATATCCTACTCACTGTACTATTTCTCCAGCTCTAAACATGCTTTTTAAAGATCCTTAGCCCTGGGACTGGGACTGGAGCGATAGTACAGTGGGTAGGGCATTTGCCTTGCATGTGGCCAACCAGGGTTTGATTCCCAGCATCCATATGGTCCCCTGAGTAACGCCAGGAGTAATTCCTGAGTGCAAAGCCAGGAGTAACCCCTGTGCATCACCAGGTGTGACCCAAAAAAAAACATAAATAAATAAATAAAGATCCTTAGCCCTGTTTCAGAAGCAGACAGTGGGTTTTGAATAATTGTTGATTAGATCAATGAATGACTAATTTTTTGGGGGGGGCCTCCAAATAAAGGTTTAATGAGGTAACATTGGTTTGTAACATTATACACGTCATAGATATACAGTATATATTTTTTAATTTAAAAATTAAATTTTTAAACTTTTTTATTGAATCACTGTGAGATAGACCATTACAAAGCTGTTCATGATTGGATTTCAGTCATATACTATTGCAACACCCATCCTTCCAACCAGTACACTTCCCAGCACCAGTGTCCCCAGGTTCCCTCCCATCACCCCCCACCTCCCACCCTGAATGACCACTTTGAGTAAGGTAAAAAGACGAACTGAGTATGGGAAGGACCGTGGGAGACGGTCCAGGGCAGAGCAGGAGAGTGTGGTCCGGTACCTGACCAGGCCCCCATGAGTCCCATTTCTCAAACAGGATCACCCGACCCTTCTTGAGCCTGAGATTGACTTGGAGGTGCTTATGGACCTATCAACAGAGGAGCAGAAGCCTTGGCTACAGGTAGAAAAGGGGACTGGGTTGTGGTCCTGGGGTTGAGGGACGAAAAGTGGGATTGGGTTAAGCTCTGAGTCCTTGGGTGGAGTGGGGTGAACCGATTGTGAGGGGACAATTTCCGGGACACTGAGTGGGGGCTCGTGGAAAAGTGCTGTGGTTCAGGGACTCTCCTGTTTCCTATCCAGGATATTCTCCGCGACAGTCCCCACCCCACAGAGGTAAGGGATGCTGTGGTTCTGGAGCCGTGGGGAGGCTTACTGGGGAGGCAGATAGTATCTGAAGGGAGGCTTGGTTTGGGTCCTTCCCCTTTTCATACCTATAAGGAGCTGTGTCCAGGGCAAAGCAGGAGAGTGTGGTGGGTGCATGTGTGTGGCCCTACACCCCGAGCTCATTTGTTTTTCTCTCAGACTTTTATCTCTGAGCTGCTCAGTCGACTCAAGAAACTCCGAAGACTCAGTCGGCCTCAGAAATAATCCTGTGACACAGTGTCAGCAGCCTTAGGCCTCCCGTGCACCTCTGGATCCATGCCCAAGAGGAAGGCAGTTCTCTGGGACAAAGAATGTGGAGGATGAAGAGGGACATTTGACCAGCCTAGAGTATGTGCAAGTTCCTGTCAGTTGGACTTTCTGGAGCTGATCATGGCTTTTCCCCTATGCTTTTCTTGACAACCAAGTGTATAAAAACTTTTAGGAGCCTCAGCTGAATGAAGTGTGAAGCACCTCTGTGTTGAGGGATGGGTGTGTGTGCAGGGGCAATGAGGGGGGAGTCATACTCTCAAAGGTAAGCAAGTAACTAGGCTCTATCCACACATTATCCACCATCCACCCACCTACCAACTCATTCTTCTACCCATTAATCCACCCACATACCTATCCATCCTTTTATCCATTCACTATCCCATATATCGGCTCTTCTTCTTGTTTTTGGGCCACATCTGGTGGTGCTCAGGGCTCATTCTAGCTCTGCAAAAACTGGGGTCACTCATGGCTGGATTCAGGGGACCATATGGGGTACTGGGCATCGAACCTGGTTCGGCTGCTTGCAAGATAACTGCCCTACCTAAAAGATAATATATTCTCTCTCTGGATCCCCATCCATCCATCCATCCATCCATCCATCCATCCATCCATCCATTCATCCATTCATCCATCCATCCATCTTGGTCTTCAGAATTTAAAGCTCAGCAACAAAAGAAGCCCATCTGGCAAAGACACTGTGAAGCCCAGAGGAGAGGATAATAGGAAAACAATGGTGTGGACTTTGGGACATCAGAGGGACCATTCCCTCCTACACCCCTCAATCATACAGGTGGCCTCCACCTTGAGCTGGATCTAGCCAGAGGCAGGAAAAGAAACAGCAGGAACTAAGCAGAGACATTTAAGGAGCAGAACTACAGGGCAAGGGGTAGGTGCTGCAGACAGGCCTTGGGTCTGAGCCAATGTACTTTATTGTATACACTAAGTACCAAGGAAGAGCCCTGGAAGATTCAGCTTGGCTTTGCAGATTTAGTCTGGTCTTTCTCCTTCATGCTTCTCATTCCAGTTTGGGCTTTGAAGCTGGAGTGTTCCCAACTCCATCTTTTCATCAGCTACTCTGGTCGCTGTCTGAAATGGAGGCTCTTTCTTGTCCCGGGAAATGGAGGATGGGGAAAGGGCACATCCACCAGCAGTCTCGCCTCTCATGAGTCCCTGCGGCCGAGTCAGAGATGGGCATCCCAGTGCAAAGAACTGCCTCTCCAGGGAGTCCTCAGCGCTCTCGGCTGGCACGTGGGGGGCAGTAGGTTGATGCCTGATGCTCTTTAAGATCAAAGTCATCATGGCCTTCCCTGGGGGGCAAAGGCACATGGGTCAGGCACTCCACACAGTCTGTTACTCCCCCAGACCCCCCAAGCGCCCACGCGGCACTCACCGGAAGCAGCGGGCACAGTAGAGGTCTCCGTCACAGCCACGGCAGCGGAGGGTGGCATCCTCGTTACAGATGCAGCACCAGGGGAGCTCCTCCTCTTCCTCCTCCTCCTCCTTGGTCTGGGCCTTTGGAACCAGAGAAGAATGGGGGGGGGGGGATAGCTCTGAGTAAGGGGGCACAGGGGCAGGAACCAGCTTGTGGCTGGGAAGACACAGAGGCCTCGGGGGGAGAGGGTTCTCTCACCTTAGCCCGTGGCCTGCAGGATGGGGCCTGGGGTGGCAGAGCTGAATCCCGGGGGCTATTGAAGCCACTTGCCTCATCCAGGGCAGCTTCCTCGGTGAGCTGTGGATGGGAGGGAGAGCTACAGTGCCCAGGTCCAGGCCCAACCCCAAGATTGCTCAAATCATCTGCCTTTGGCTGTGCCTCCTAATTCCCCAGTGCAGGGGTGAGGAGGGCGGGTTGGGTGCGGGTGTGTGGGGGAGGAGGGGAGAAGGGGAGGGGAGGGAGGCCTGCATCACAGGAGCTGCTGAGTGACTGGTCCTCCAGCCCAGGAGGCAGGATAACAGGACCTGGCTGAGATGGGGATGCTGACAGAGCCAAGGCCATGTGGACCCACCTGCCGCAGGAGTCTCTGGACGGCTGTCTCCTCGTCCTCATCATCACTGTCGGGGAAGTAGTCCTGAAGTGTCACTGAGGAGGGAGAAGTAGGGATGGGTGGGGAACGTGGAGGAAGTCACATTCTTACCCCTGGGACTGGCCCAGACCTGCTCTCCCTGCCCCACCCCGCAGCAGGGTAAAAAAAAAAAAAATGGAGAGGGGCTGGAGCAATAGCACAGCGGGTAGGGCGTTTGCCTTGCATGCAGCCGACCCAGGTTCGATTCCCAGCATCCCATATGGTCTCCTGAGCACTTCCAGGAGTGATTCCTGAGTGCAAAGCCAGGAGTAACCCCCTGTACATCGCCGGGTGTGAACTAAAACAAAACAAAACAAAAAGACATGGAGAGGCTCAAGTGGTAGAGCATATGCCACTCATGTGTGAGGACCTGAGTTTGGCCCTGAGTTTGGTCTCTGGCATTACATAACCCCTCATACCCCTTAAGAAAAGCGGGTCTCTTCTCTGGATAGCCGCTGCTTATACACTGTCCTGCCACAATCTTCCTAGCACCATCCAGAGCTCCAGGGACCCCCGGGAACAGGGGCACCCCGTGCCTCATTCGGCCCTATCTGGGAGTGCAGCCACTTTGTAGAGCTTGGTCTCGGGGGTACAGTGGCCTTGTCCTGAGCCCTTACCTTTTTCGGGGTCCCGTCCCTGCAGCACAGCCAATCGTTTGGCCAGGGCCAGAGTCCGCTCCTGCCTCGTCTTCTCCTCCCGCAGCTCGACAGCTGCCTCAGCCAGCAGCCTGCTCTTCTCCTCCTCCGGGGACCAGTTGCTGCTCCCGGGGCCGTCCTGGTTGCAGGCCTTCTGTAGGGGTGCAGCTGGAAGGAGCAATGCAGTCAGGTTGATAGAGACACTCTGAGAGCTCTCCTCAAAGCCATCACGCCCATTTCCCCGCATGTGTGCGTCTGAGACCCTCGGCAATGTGTTCAGCACCAGCTCCTGCGGCTTCTACAGCTAAGTGAAAGCATTCATTTCTGAAGCCCGAGTGATAGTATGGCAGGGAGGGTGTGTGCCTTGCATGTGGCTGACTTGGTTTCCATCCCTGGCACCCTCATACGGTCCCCTGTCAGGAGTAATTCCTGAGTGCAGAGCCAGGAGTAAGTCCTGAGCACCATCAGGTGTGCCCTCCGCCACCTCCCCCACCTCCAAAAAGGAACTCTCAGTTTGTCTTATCACCTAACTGCTCCTTCAGCTCCAGAACTACTTGGTCTCATCATTTCTCAACCCCAGACAACAGCACCTGACAGGGTTATAAAGCATAGCTAGGGAGTCAGGGTGTCTCCAAGGCTGCCCTGGCTTTGCTGACACTCTGGCCAGGAGAGCAGCTGTGGGCACTGGCTTCTGCCCCCGAGAGGACCCTCTGAGTCATGACAACCAAAGAGTTCCAGACACTTCCCAACAGGCCGTGACTCATCCCTGTTTGGGGACCACTTCTCTGAGGTCTTGGGACAGAACTGTTTTTTTGTTTGTTTTGGGGCCACACCCAGCAATGCTCAGGGCTTACTCACGAATGTGTGTTCAGAGATCACTCCTGGCGGGGCTCAGGTGACCATTATGGGGAGCCAGGGATTGAACCCAGATTAGCTGGGTACAAGGCAAATACCCTACCAGCCTGACTACAGCTCTGGAATCTAAGCGGAACTTTTCCCGATGTGCCACTCCATGGTCTGTGTCTGGGCTGCTCAAGATAGTTGCTAGGAGATACATGTGGCTCCTGAGCAATTGAAATGTGGCTAGGACCACAGAAGAACCAAATTCTAATTGGTGAGAATTTTAAAAATTCTAATTAAAGGGTTAAGGTATTTGCTTTGCAAGTGGGCAAGACTGGTTTAATCCCCAGCACTGTCTATGATCCCTGAAAACAGAGTCAAGAGAAGTGCCAATTTGGGGCTGGAGCAATAGCACAGCGGGTAGGGCATTTGCCTTACACGTGGCCAACCAGGGTTCGATTCCCAGCATCCCATATGGTCCCCCAAGCACCGCCAGGAGTGATTCCTGACTGCAAAGCCAGGAGTAACCCCTGAGCATCACCGGGTGTGACCCAAAAAGCGGGGGGGGGGGGAGGGGGGGGAGAGGGGGGGAGGGGGAAAAAAAAGAGAAGTGCCAATTTCCATGGCCCCAACCAAACCACACCCTGCTCCCAATTAAATGTAAATTGCCTTCTTGTCTTTGTAACAGAGAACATTCTCTGAGCACTTCCTGTGAGCTGTGCAGGTACTGATACATGCAGCTCACTATACCATCTCATTTACCTTGTAGTTTCCCCATCAGGAGGGTTATATTATTATTATTGTTATTTTTACTTTGTTTTGGGGCTATATCCAGCAGTGCTCAGGACTTACTTCTAGCTCTGCACTCAGGGGTCACTTCTGGTGAGCTTAGGGACCATATGGGCTGCTGGGGATCAAACCTGGGTTGGTCGCTTGCAAGGTAAGCATCCTACCCATTGTGCTATTTTTTTTCTGACCCCACAGGAAGGGTTTCACCATCATCTCACAGTTGAAAGCAGCATTACGTAGAAAGGTCAAGTCCCTTGCCCAGAGTCACAGAGCTCGGTAAGTGAGCTGTGCAACTTGAGATGAGGATCACACTTACCACTATGTCACACTGGCTCCCCTGGAGAAGTGAACACAGTAAATGAGAGCACTAAGAATGATTTCCACCCCCCTCCCTGATTGATAGTTACCTCCCACAGGGCGGGAGGCAGAACCTCTCCCTCATTGGGAAAGAGGAGGGTCACGACCCCGGAAAAGTTCCATGGGGGATTACCTGGGCCTCCCAGCTCCCAGCTCTGGTCAATGGCCACCTCAGCTCCCAGCTGAGTCAGCAGATCCTGTGCCTGCTGAGTCTGGGTCCTGGTGTCCGGTGGCTGATGGGCCTGCTAAGAGAAGACAAGCTCAGTGGGTCACAGTGCGAGGGGGCTCTAAGGGCTTCTCAGCACAGACACAGGGGCTTAATCTAGGGCGCACGTAATCAAGCAGGTCTGGATGTCCCCAGGAGCACTGTGGGGCCTCTTTCCTCCCCACCCAATTTTGCTCGGCCCTGGCTCCCTGCCTGGCAGCAGCCGGAGGATCCAAAGGTGGGCGTGGGAGGCTCTGCTGACTTCTGCAAAGCACGTAAGTTTCAGGACTTCTACTGGCTCTTTGGCCTGCGTGTCCTCCCCGGATTTCTGCTGGGTCATTGGTCCTCCTCATGCCCTCCTTGGATTTCTGCTGGGTCTTTGGCCCTCAGAAGCCCTCCAAAGCCCCAGCACTCACCGGCTGAGAGGCCTGTGCAGGTGGAGGTCTGCCCTGCAGGGCAGCGAGCCGCGCCTCCATTTCCTGGGTGGAAGGGATGGGACGCTGGGGTTCATCTCGCAGCGCAGCCAACCTGGCCTCTATCTCGGCTGGTGAGGGTACTGACTCTGTGATTGATGGGGGAAATGCATAAGGTCCGTGGAGTCCACCCCAGGAGCCAGGAGGCTGTCAGTCAGCCCCAGTGCTTCTCACCCTCTTCCCAACCATGGTCCCCTGCAGACCTTGCTTCCCTCCTGCGGCTTCCATCTTATGAGTTGCTCAGTCTTGTGCCATGGTCCCCCTACTTAATGCAGTGGTCCCCCTGGGAAACACTGGCTTAGGCCACCACCCTGCCAGCCCCAACTCACTGGGCTTGTTCTCCTGGCGGAGCCGCGCAAGGCGCTCAGCAATGAGTTGGTCGGGGTGGCTCAGGCCCTGGTTTTGGGGAGCGCTGGGCTTCTGCTTGGCTTCCAAGGCTGCCACGCGCCTGGCAGGAGGAGATAGCGGCTTTGAAACAGCAGAAAAAAGGAGCCATTCACTGTTTTTCACTGCATCCCCTTCGGACATCCTGGGAGACTGTGAGGGACACGCTTCTGTGGCCCCGCTTCCCTGCCCAGCTGGCCAGTCAGAGGGGCGAGCGAAAGGGGCACAGTGGATCCAAAGCCTTTCCTGGGGAAAGAGCTGATAAGCGACTTCTGAACCCATGAGGGGAGTCAGGAGCTCGGGACTTGGGGTTTCCTGGGGAAAGTCTGAGGAGAATCCTGCTGTGTGCTCCCCGGTTCCCTGCCCACCACCATTCTCTATTTCTTCAGCACTTACTTCTTATAGTTCTGAGGAGGTGACCATTTGGAGGTATTGGGAGAAGATCCTCTATAGATGAGAAGTCTAGAGTCAGAACTACTGCCATGGGCCAGTGTGCTCCATCTCCTCTCCCACCCCCCAGCTGACTTGGAGCCTCAGAGCACAAGGCCTCCAGGCTGGTCAGTTGCTGACTGCCTTGCCTGGCTGAGCCCTCACCTGGTCAGGACCTCATGGCACTCCTTGCAGACTTTCTGTTGGGTATTGCCAGCCCGGGGCACCACAGCGCTGAAGTGAAGGCAGCCAGAACAGAAGGCCCGGCCACAATTCTTACAGCCGTACTACAAGAAACATGAAGGAGGGATCCACCTCGCACCCACCCTTGCAGGGTCCTTCCTGGCACTCTACAAGTACACACAGAGTGAAGGCACCGTAGCTGTGAGCAGCTGCAGCAAGGAGAGGAGGAGGGCCGTAAGGACTGGAGAGAGACAGGGGCGTTGGGTAGAGTGCCTCAGTCTCTCTTCTCTTATTCAAACCAAATAAAGCTTCATACAAAATTTCCAAGCTTTGAGGTCGGAGTGATGGCTCAACAGGACGAACGTGTTTTTCATTCAGGAGGAATAAGATTCGATCCCCAACCCCCAGCACTGTATATGACACCCCCAAGCACCCCCAGGAGCTACTCCTGAGCACAGGACTAGACGCACCCTCTGAGCACTGCCAGGCATGGCACCCCTCAAAAAAGAACTTCCAAGCCTTCTACCCTGTATTTGTGCTTGTTTTCTGTTTTTGCTTTTTTTGGGTCACACCCGGCAATGCTCAGGGGTTCCTCCTGGCTCTGCACTCAGCAGTTACTCCTGGTGGTGCTCAGGGGACCATATGAGATGCTGGGGATTATACCTGGGTCAGCTGCATCCAAGGCAAACGACCTACCCATTGTACTAATGTACTAATGCTCTGGCCCTCTATCCTGTATTTATTCAGTAGTCCCACACTGGGAGGAAGAGGGATCAATTCAGGAAGAGGGATCAATTTTGGGTCACAGACTTCAGCAGAGGAGAATCAAAGAGTGCAGACGACTGGAGAGATGTTTTATGCGGATGCCCTGGATGCGCTGGCTGTGGCTCCCAATAAACAAACTAGAGTGCGCAAGGTTCATCCCTTCTCTGCTCTAGAAGAGAAGAGGGAGGAGGGAGGGAAGAGTGGCTCTGGGTGGGATAAAAACAATAGGCTCCATTGATGAGGCGCTTACAGTGTGCCAGGCAAGCACTAACTCAGCACTTAACAGTGATCACTTGATTTAATCCTTACAATCTGCACACATTACTTAATCATGGTTACCACCACTATTTTTAATCTAACAGGGGGCTAGAGAAGTTATATAACCTACCCCATATCAAGGTCACCCAGTGGGTATGACCACAGAGCTCAAGTCTGAACCCTCATGGCTCTAACTTCCAAATCCAAATTTCCATTTGTTTCTGTTCTGGGGCATACCCAGAAGAGGGATATCAGGGATCAAACTTAGATCTCTTGGATGCAGTTTGCACTCCAGCCCACTAAGGTATCTCTTCAGCATCCACCTTCAAAATTCAGGTTTCTAAATTTCTTCTTCTTCACGTAGTGCCACATAGGGCTGGGGCAATAGCACAGCGGTAGGGCATTTGCCTTTCGCGCAGCCAGCCCGGCTCAGCTGGGTTCGATTCTTCTGCCCCTCTCGGAGAGCCCGGCAAGCTCTGAGAGTATCTCGCCTGCACGGCAAAACCTGGCAAACTACCCATGACGTATTCAATATGCCAAACACAGTAACAAGTCTCAAAACGGAGACATTACTGGGCCCGCTCGAGCAAATCGATGAACAGCGGGAGGACAGTGACACTGACAGTGACACGTAGTGCCATTTATTCATCCTATCTGGTGCCCATCTCCTGTTCACAATTCAGACAGAGGAAGCCTGCACTTTACCAGCAGACCCAGTGGCCAGGGGTCTATGCTGAGGATGAGGAGGATGAGGCACTTTGCCACGATGCCGTGGGAGCAGAAGGAAGGACAATATAATCTAACTCGAGAGATCTGGAAGGGCTCACTGCATGACGGCCACGATTTCAGAGCAGAAAAACTGAGCACTAGGATGATGGAGCATGGTCATAGGGTAGCGACTAGAGCCTAGAGCCGAACAGCGTGTGCTGGGAGGGATGGGGGGTGGGGGTAGGGCTGGACAGAGGGAAGTAAACAGTTAGATCCTGCAATTGACTGAGGAAAAGTCTTGCATTCCAAGAACTACAGTAGCGCGCTTTACAATTTTCAAGGAATTTGCACCTCCAGCACCTTCCTGGACTTTCACCCCAATTCCCAAAGTGAGGGTGTGGAAGCTCAGAAATGGAAACTGAGCCCTAGTGACTTTATAGATCACATCGCTAAAAGAGGGGATAAAACCCCACGTCTTCGGATTTTAAATCCCGAGCTTTTCTTTCCATTCCGCATCTTCTCTGGCCCTCTATCCCCCAAGGAGAGAAGACTCGCCTCCTTTTTGAAGATGGTGAACTTGACAGCGCAGCCGTAGCACCGACTCTCCATCCCGGCTCCCCGCGCCGCGCTGCACGACCCCCACAGAGCCGAGATCAAGCCCACCAGCTTGCGAGCCCCAAGAACCTTCACTCGGCCCCACCCCCCACGCCCACAGATCGCGACCACCTACGGCCGCCTGCAAGGGAATCCCGACTCGCCACCCTAGCCGGAGAGCGGGCGATGCCGGGAGCGGAGGCTGCCGGGAGTTGTAGTTTTTTCTCCATAACCGGGAACTTCCTTCCTCGACGCTCGAGTCTGACGCAGAACACAATTCCCAGGGGGCAAAGCGCCACGGAACTTTCCGGGGCCCGACAAGCCCCGCGCGCGCCGAGACTCCTGGGAGTTGTAGTACGAATCCGGTCGCGCTAGGAACCATGGCGGTGACCAAGGAGCTTTTGCAGATGGACTTGTACGCGCTGCTAGGCATCGAGGAGAAGGCGGCGGACAAAGAGGTGAGCACAGCGACTGGGAGGGCTGATCCTGAGGAGTCTGGCGCCTTTTTGTTTCCGGGCGCCTCCCCGGGCTAACTGGTACCCGCCTTCCGGGTTCGCTCAGGCCCTGCTCAGGGATGACGGGGTGGTCCGGCAGGACATTTCCCGGACAGTTCCGGGGGGCGTCTCTAGGATGTGGGGTCACTAGAGCGAGACCCGCGGCCCGAGACTGGCAGAGGCCGCGAGGTTGAGCCCCGGCGGGACCCTGCGCCTCCTCCCCGCGCCTGCGCACCCCGGACCTCTGCGTCCCTTGCGGTGCCCACGCCGGCCGAAGGGGTTTCTCCTTCTCCCGCAGGCTGACTTAATCTCATTTTACCCTGCGGCTGACAGTAAAGGCGAAGTCTCAAGTGTCCTTCACTCCGCTTCACCTCCTGCTCGGCTATGCAATAACCGTGGCATAGCCATCACTAATAACTTTTCCACCGTAGTTCCTTAACACTTTTCAAGTAGCGGTGTTCCCCACTCAGCATACGCTCAGGAGCCAGAATCAGGAGGCTCTGAAAGGTGCCACACAACTCCAGCTCAGCGAACTGCGCTCATGCTTTGCATTCAGGAGACCCTGTTCGGTGCCCCGCGCCCACAAGGAGTGCTCCCTGCTCTCAGACTTAGGAGTAAGCCCTGAGCAGCACCCCCACCACCACCTCCACCAAACAAAGTAAAATAGCATTATTTGTAGTAGCCAAAGGTTTGAAGCATCACGTGGCTCCTGAGAGATGAATGGATACAAAAAGTGTGGTTGAGGCATATAGTACTAAGTCTTAAGGAGGGACTTTTTTTTTAAAATTTCTGGGTCACACCCTGCGATGCTTAGGGGTTACTCCTGGCTCTGCACCATGAATCACTCCTGGTGGTGCTCAGGGACAATATGGGATGCTGGGAATCGAACCCGGGTCAGCTACGTGCAAGGCAGACTCCCATCCCGCTGTGCTATGGCTCCAGACCCTAAGGAGGGAAATCCTGACATATGCTGCATGAATAAACTTTGAAAACATGATGATACCTGAAATAAGCCAGTCACAGAAGGTCTGTGTTGCAAGAAACATCATAGCTTTACCTGGAGGACCCAGATTCACGGGGACAGAAAGTAGAATGGTGGAGGCAGAGCCTTAGTGTGTTGGACAGGACTCTTGCCAGGCATGAGACTGATCTGGTTTTGATAACTGACACCTAATATGGTATCACAAGCCTCACCAGAAGTCATCCCTGAGCTCAGCCTCAGCATGCTGGGTGTGGTCCCCCACCAAAAAAAGAAAAAAACACCAGAAAGTAGAATGGTGGCTTCCAGGGGTTGGAGGTAACTGTGTTAGAAAGGAGGTATTGGGAGTTCATTTTTATTTGATACAGAGTTCCAGTGGGAAAATATGGGAAAAAAAAAACCTCTGGAAATTGATGGCAGTGATGATTGTGCAATAAAATAGGTGTACTTCAGGCCACAAAAAATGATTAAAATGTGAGTCTAGGGGTGTGGCTCAAGTAGTAAAACATGTGCCTTGCATGTTTGAGGCCCTGAGCTCAACCTTTGTATCATGACCCCTCAGCTTATTGAGTTTGACCCCTGAGCACTGCACAATAAGAACAAAAAGGAGTGGAAGAATAAGTTTTATGTGACATATATTGTAACCAAAACAGTGTGTGACAAAGACCACATATCACCCCCTAGAACATTTTTTAGGGGCCGGAGAGATGGTTAAAAGGGCTGGAGTCTCAGTTTTGATCTCCTGCCCATATAGTTCTCCTCAGCACTGCCAGGTATGGTCCCAAAGCAAAATCAAAACAACATAAAAAATTATTACTAGAGGCTGAGGACTTTGTACAAGAGCTAAGTTGTATGCAAGGCATGCATCAGTATCTGTTCCCACTGTGGGTTTTTTTTTTTTTTTTGACTATACCTGGTGGTGCTTGGAGGTTACTCTTGGCTCTGTTTGGGGGTCGAGGGTCATTCCCAGTAGTATTTAAAGGGATTACATAATGTTAAATACACTCATAGGACTGGGACCCCTGCCAGGTTTGATTCCTGGCACCACATGGCTCCCTAGGCACTATGTGGTGTAGCCTTAGTGTTCCAGATAATCCCCAGGCATTGTGCTTCGGTTTTTTCAACTTATTGGCCCAGACCGTAGATCCTAAAGTGTCTGGAACTGTGTCTCCTCCAAATTCATCAATACTGGAATTCCAGTAGAAGCACACCAAATTAGATGGGAAAGTAGCATTAGAAGCCAACTAAACTCAACTAAACAGATGCACTGAAGGCCCAATTAGTGACAAAAAGCTTAGTGAATCCTTAGGCAAGGACTTAATAATCCCATGGTGAGATATAACAATTTTTACATTTTATTTTACCAAAGTATTTTTGATAATAATTCTTTTAGCCATTTAGCTGCTACAAGCAGTATGAAATAAATTATTGTGTGTCGGCTGGAGTGATAGCACAGTGGTAGGGCGTTTGCCTTGCACACAGCCAATATGGCCGACCCGAGTTCGATTCCTCCGCCCCTCTCGGAGAGCCCGGCAAGCTACCAAGAGTATCTCGCCCGCATGGCAAAGCCTGGCAAGCTCCCCGCAATGTATTCGATATGCCAAACACAGTAACAAATGTCACAGTGGAGATGTTACTGGGCCCGCTCAAGCAAATCGATGAACAACGGGAGGACCGTGACCGTGACCGTGTCTGCTAAGCAGGCCAACTTGGAGGGTGGTTTGGTAAGTGGATACAGTGGTGGAGAGCAGGTCACTTTGGTGGTGGATTGGTGTTTGAACATTAAAAGTTCATAACAAGTGTATTATGAACAGAATTGTAAATCACAGTTTTTAAATAAAGTGTCTTTTTTTACAAAAAAAAGCAATAATAAAATGTAAATGTTTATTCTAAAAATGGGCTGTAGTGATAGCACAGCAGGTAGGGTGTTTGCTTTGCACGTGGCTGACCCCGGACTCAATTCCTCAGTCCCTCTCGGAGAGCCCAGCAAGCTACTGAGAGTATCCCGCCCGCACCGCAGAGCCTGGCAAGCTCCCCGTGCATATTAGGTATGCCAAAAACATTAACAACAAGTCTCACAATTTATTGTGAGACGTTACTGGTGCCCGCACGAGCAAATCGATGAACAACGGGAGGACAGTGACAATGAGCTTTGGAACCTAGTAGTGCTTGGGGGACCGCATGGTCCTGGGGATCAAGCTGGGGTCTGCCACACGGAAGGCAAGTGCCGTAATCCTATACTGTTTCTCTGAACCCCAGTAAATTCTTTGTCCACTCATCTGTCACGAGGTATTTGGGTTGTTTCCAGATCCTGGTGCTTGTAAATATTGCTGTATTTTGGCCTTTATAGGGAAAGTTTGCCTATCCCTGCTAGAATCACTAGCAAGGCCTACTCCCCATTCTGCCAGCCCTTCTACTGATGTTCCTCTCTGATCATAACCAACTTGGCAGGCCCAGAAGTGGGCTAAATACTATTCTTGGGAATTTAGAGAGTCAGCACTTCCTGACGGTAGACATTTTTGTTCTCCAGCCTTAGAGGAGGCAGGGTGGGGGCAATTGTCATTTACTTGTAGGAAAGGTTTGATTGAGGATCTGGGTTGGTTGTGGAAATACTCCTGGGGAGAGAGTCGGGGCTTGGGATTTCAGTCCCTGGTTAGAAAGTGAAGTAGTGACGTGTGTATGTCCATATACTTGTCCATATTCTCCAGACAGGGCCCCAAGGCCTATCACTATGAAATGAAATGCTACCAAATTGCAAGGGATTCTGAAGAAGACTCACCACTATTTTACTGGGGACCCAGAGTGACAGTACAGTGGGTAGGGTACTTGCCTAGCATGCAGCCCACCCAGGTTTGATCTCCCGCGTCCCATATGGTCCCCTGAGCACCACGAGGAATAATTCCTGAGCACAGAGCCAGAAATAACCTCTGAGCACTGCTGGGTGTGGTCCAAACCCCCCTACTCCCAGAAAAGATCACTTTACTGGACCTGGGGAGCTCAGTCGACTAAGCACATCTTTGTTTAAGTCCTGGTACCCTATGGTCCCCAATTTCCTGGTGTTGAGCTGGTAATAGCCCTCCATTACTGGGCTGGAGCGATAGCACAGCGGTAGAGCGTTTGCCTTGCATGCAGCCAACATGACCGACCCGAGTTCGATTCCTCAGCCCCTCTCGGAGAGCCCTGCAAGCTACCGAGAGTATCTCGCCCGCACGGCAGAGCCTGGCAAGCTCCCCGTGACGTATTCGATATGCCAGACACAGTAACAACAAAGTCTCCAATGGAGACGTTACTGGGCCCGCTCGAGCAAATCGACAAACAACGGGAGGGCCTTTACCTTTACCTTTACTACCAAGTATAACCCAAAGTCCCCCAGCCTCATCCCCTTCCCGTCAAAAATAAGATTGCTTCAACAACAGTGGCTCCCTGCAGCAGCCTCTGACTTTCTTTGACTCATGTTCTTGGGCCTTACATGGGCCCCCTACTTGGGCCTCACTCACACAGCAGCAGAGCACATCATTAAGGCAGTGTGAGCATGCGCCTCTGCTCTGATTCCCCAGTGCCTTCTCACCTTTAAAGAAAAAATCCACAAAACCCTCAAAGCAAAATAGCCTTCAGAAAGGTGACTCCAGCTCCGATTCCTCCTGGGTATGGAGGAGATTGCGCCTCTCTGCTCACAGCTCCAGCCCTGACTCTTCAAGGTGGACTTTGTCCAGATCAGGCACAGGCTGGCTCTTAGTTCAGCCAGATTTTACAACCTTCCCTGCTACCTTGTGGTTTCCTTTCCCTTTCTTCTTCTTCATTTTTTTTTCTTTTTGGGTCACACCCAGCGCTGCTCAAGGGTTGCTCCTGGCTCTGCACTCAGGAATAATCCCTGGCAGTGCTGGGGACCATATGGGATGCTGGGAATTGAACCTGGGTCGGCTGTGTGCAATGCAAATGCCCTACCCACTGTGCTATTGCTCCAGCCCCTCCCTTTCGTCATAAG